AGAAGATGTGGTACCCATGCATGATGGAATATTACTCAACCATTAAAAAGAATGAAATAATGCTATTTGCAGCAACATAGACGGACCTAGAGACTATCATACTGAGTTAAGTAAATCAGAAAAGAAGAAGCACCATATGACATCCCTTATATGTGGAATCTAAAAAGAAATGATACAAATGAACATACAAAACAAAAAGAGACTCACAGGCCTAGAGAACAAAATTGTGGTTGCTGGAGGGAAGAGATAGTTAGGGAGTCTGGGATGGACCTGTCCACACTGCTGTATTTAAAATGGGTAACCAGCAAGGACTTACTGTATAGCATATGGAACTCCGCTCAGTGTTATGTGGCAGCCTGGACTGGAGGGGAGTTTGGAGGAGAATGGATGGACACATGCATAGGTATGGCTGAGTCCCTTTGCTGTTCATCTGAAACTATCACAACAGTGTTTGTTAATCAACTATACCCATACAAAATAAAAAGTGTTTGTTTGTTTTTTAAAAGAAGCTGAGGCCTGCCAAAAGCCTTGTTAGGAGCTTGGAAATGGATCTTCCTCCAATCAAGCCTTGAAATAACTGCAGCCCTTGACCAACACCCTAATTGCAGTCTTGTGAGAGACCCCAAGCTAGAGAATCAAGCTAAGCATATCCAGATTCCTAACACACAGAAACTGTGAGATATTGAATATTTGTTGTTTTAACCTGCTGTGTTAGGGAGTGATGTGTTATATAACTACAGATAACTAATACAGTCCTCAACCAACAAGGAAAATGATGGAATAGACACAATCACTTAATCTGCCACACAAACCACCTCCACATGAAGGGTCTAGCATACCTGACAGAATTTCAGCATAGCCCCCCGCTAATTCCCCTAATTCAATCTAGACATCTCTAACTTTTATTAATACTTGGAAGTCTGCCTTAGGGCTCAAAATGTTCCCATTTTTTGAATGATCCAACACTCCCAACTAAAGTGAAAAGAAGCCAAAGGCAACCTGGCCATTAGTAATCCCAAATCCTCGATGTTATAAAGTCACAAGTTGTCTGGTGAAAGAGAGGCCAGAAAGTATATGCTGAAAGCTGCCCCTTCTAGTCTTGCACGAGTAATTCCTGCAGCTGGAGTTTCACTCCAACCACAGGATTGTGGCACTACGAAGGTGGCCATTTTCAAATCTGGCCTGACATCAAAATGAAATTCAACTAGATAAACCTGAGACTGGGCCAAGATAAGTCACATTTAAATAACTGGAGCCAATGAATAGCATCACTTTTCTATGGAACCATATGACTATGATGTGAGGAAATAAAAGCCTTTGTTGTTTTAAAGGGCAGAGACAATTGGAAGTTTTGCAGCAGACGGTTACAAAATTTTCCACCCTTAGCTTTCCAAGGAAGATACCAGTTAGTGGCTTTGGGAGTTGGGTGTGGAAGGTGTTACTTGGAAAAGACAATTAAATTGATTCTGAACAGATGTGAACCAATGTTACTACATCTATCACAGAGCCGAAAACAGACTGTTTAGCTCCCTACACGGTGAGCTTACTTTTCTACTCCCTGTTATTATATATATAACTATATACATATAACTACTCCCTATTATTACTTTGCTCCTTGAAATCAGCATGCTATGTCAGGTAAGGCACAGAAAGCTACCACACCTCTCTCATAAACAATGAATTTTTATTTTCCAGAATAATTTTGGAGTGGTTTTTTTTTTAAATCCTAAAAAACACAAAACACTCCCCCCAAAATTGGCCTTTGCTTCTCTGTTTTTTGTGGTTGTCTACCTGAGTCAGAGCAAGACTCCCATCTGTGATACAGTTCATTGAGATAAATGGGGATGAGTTTTCTGCATCTTACACACAGATTGTTTTAAAAAATATTTCATTTGTCCCTTGAATTTTTTAAAGGCTATTTTTCCCCCTCTTTAAAAAAAAATTATCCCTATTACCTCATCAGGCAGCTATCTGAGGCTATGAGAAGAAGCTCATACTAAATTGGTTTTAGTTGTATTTAAGGCAGTATTTTATCCTGTCGGTTTTCATTTTATTAGTTGACAGTGCTTGCAATTTCTCCCTCAATAAGCAAAGATGACTTAGATCAGTGGCCTGATGAATAAGCATGAAAATTTGATTTAGAAAAGGAGAATATCCTGGAGCTCACAGAAAGAAAAAAGGATTTCCAACCCCCCACCACACACACATTTTAAATGACAAAGCAAAGAAGCTGCATTGTCTTTAAACAGCATCTTTCAGTGCAATCAATATCAAGGCTCCCCAATGTTAGGTGATAAGAATAATAATTTAGAAAGAAAAAGAGGAGCCCTTGAAAAAATTCAAGGAGAGAAGGAAATATTTTTAAAGAAAATATTATTAATCCTTCATATTACCTTGAGGCAGACTGCCCAAAAGAAAAAAAAAAAGTACTGGGTGTGAAGGGAAAACTGATCCTTTGGAAGAAAAAAAGATGAGGATTCCCGTTGAGGACCGGATGGAGAATGTGAGCAGTCTGACACCCTACCTTGGCCTAAATGATTCAGCCTTCCAGACCCATTAACAAGAGTGGAGGACAAAGAACTGTCAAGTGGAAGAACAGATTCCCCATAAACCAGTAATAGAAAATAAATAAAAGAAAAACAGAGGAAGCCAAAGTCTCCTATGGAAGGGAACCAAATTAATTGTCTTCGGTTTCAGGATCAGTCTTTTCTTGCTGGAGAAGAGGCTCACGCGGGGCAGCAGAGGCAGCAGCTTCCAACTTCTGCAAACATGCATCCTGATCAGAATTCCTCAGGGCTCTAGCGCCTGGGACAGAGCTGGCAGGAAGAAGGGCTAGGCCAGGAGTAACGTTTTTTAAGGCAGAGGATTGGGGGGTGGGGGTGGGGAGGGAATGTCAGAGAGAAGCAGATTTTTCCTTGCTTGGCATGTCACTTTCCTGCATGGGAATTCATGCTATTCCTCGCGGTCCGGTGAGAGGGTAGGAGCATCCCCCACCTCCAGCCGCTGTAACTTCTGATTTCGCCGGGAGGAACCAGAGAGCGCGCGCCAGGGCCCAGAGCCTTCAGCGGGGCGAAGATTTGATCGAGAACAAAAGAACGCTTGCCAATCAGAAAACGCTACCCGAGAACAAGGATAACTTCTCTTTGTGTTTTGAAAACTCTTTAATTAGCAAATGCCTTTGGTTTCTAATAAGTATTAAAACTTTTCTACGCAGATTCCAAGAAACAAATCATTGCTTCCGCGACGAAGGTGGGACTCCCAAGGGCCACACGCCGCAGAACTAAAGAAAACAGGGCAATTAAATACTCGCTGTAAACCTGTACAGTGTTCCTGGGCACTCGGCCGCAGGTTTTTTTACAATAATTTCCCGCATTGGTTTTCTTACGACTTCACTAGAGCTTTACCAAATCCCTAGACTCTGGGCCGTGCGTGCCGGCAGGGTGGCCTGGAGCCTGGGTCCCCGGCGCCCGCCGCTCGTCGGCCCTGTCCCCTCGGAGGGGTCGACACTTCCTCCGGCCTTAAGCCGGCCCCCTCCGCCCGACTCCTATTTCTCTTCGGCCTCGGCCCCTCCTCCTTTTTACAACCCGGAGAGGGGGTGAGCGGGGATTGTGGCCTCACGTGGTCAGTCTGCGGAGAGAAAAGCAATCCGCGAGGCGCACCCCTTTCTTGCCCCATTCCGAACCCCACATGTAGGATCCTGCTACCTAAAAGCCCCCCGCCAAACCCAGCATTTTCAGCCCAAAGAGGGCTAAACACGGCCCCGGATCACGTCTCTCTCCGCGGAGGCGCTACTCTTATTCTCAGCCTCTCCACGCAAAAGCCTGCCCGGGGTGCCCTTCTGTTCAGGAATGTGTATTTTAGTGTACCCGGAAGAGGAACAAATCTTTCAAGCAAATTCCCTTTCTGCTGCTCTTCTCTACCCCCTCCCCCCTGTGAATTCAGGGTAAAAGTTTTTCTTAACTTTTCCCTCCCAGCCCCCTGCCCCTCCCCTCAGGAATCCGCCCAGAGCTCCGCAGACCTAGCCTCTCCTGTTCCCCCGCCCGCCCCTTCCGACTTCCACCCAATCCGAAGGCAGTCACACAGAAAACAAAGGCTGCTATTGGGCCTCCCTGGAGCTCGAGGGCCCGCCCCCGGAGTGGTTTGTGAATGGGGGGAGGGGAGGGGGCGGGGCGGTCCGGAACCCTGCGAGCCCGACGCTTCTTCTGTAGAGTTGCGCGGCTCCGAGGCGTTACTCTGCGCTCCCTCCCGGCGGGCAGAGCTCCCTCTCCGCCCAGAGTTGCGCGGGGCTGGAGAGGCCAGGCCCAGGCCGCGGGCACCAGGATCTCGCAGCTTCGGACGCAGTGTGACTGGATTTCTTAAAAAAACTGGCCGAGCTTTGGCTCCAAGACGCCGATCGGACTCAGAGCGAGAATCAGCCGTTTGGCTGAAAGTTGGAGCCAAGCTTTGGGGGCTGAAGAAGGACCGAGGAGCGGAGAAGGAGGCGGCGGCGGCGGCGAGCGGAGCCTCGAGGAGAGAAGGCGGAGCAGCACCGTTGAGGCGGCGGCTTTGGCTAGCAAGCGGCGGCGCCGGGCTCTCGCCTGCCGGGGGCCAGACTTGGTGTGGGGCGGGGGGGGGCGCGCGCCTTATTGAGCTCAGTGAGTCAGGAGACTTGGGCAAACTTTGAAGGGTAACCGGAGACGCTTGTTGCTCCTCGCCGCAGAAAAAGCCGCACCGTTACGTCGCATCGAGAGGAGAAGGCGGCCCCCCGTCTGCGCCCCCAGCCCAGGGAGACGAGTTTGGACCCCCGGCGGCTGCGCCAGTGCTGGGCGGAGGCGGCGGCGCCCCCGTGGCGCGAGCACCCCAGCTGCAGCGCCCTCTGTTCCGCGCCGCCCACGGCCCAGCCCCGGCGCCGGGAGGACTCTCATGCGCCCGGCGCAGCTGCGCCTCCCCGGATCCCAGCCTCTCCCGGCTGCCTGGTCGCGTTTCTCGGGCTGAGAGCGCCGCTGCACCCGCGGCCGGCGATGCGGGGCTCCCGCGCGGCGGCGTCGCGCTTGCCGCTGGACCTTTGCACCCTGGTGCTGGCGCTGCTGGGCGCACTGCCCGCGGGCGCCGGGGCGCAGCCGTACCACGGAGAGAAGGGCATCTCAGTGCCAGACCACGGCTTCTGCCAGCCCATCTCCATCCCGCTGTGCACGGACATCGCCTACAACCAGACCATCCTGCCCAACCTGCTGGGTCACACGAACCAAGAGGACGCGGGCCTCGAGGTGCACCAGTTCTACCCGCTGGTGAAGGTGCAGTGTTCTCCCGAGCTGCGCTTCTTCCTCTGCTCCATGTACGCACCCGTGTGTACGGTGCTCGACAAGGCCATCCCTCCGTGCCGCTCTCTGTGCGAGCGTGCCCGCCAGGGCTGTGAGGCACTCATGAACAAGTTCGGCTTCCAATGGCCTGAGCGGCTGCGTTGCGAGAACTTCCCCGTGCACGGCGCTGGCGAGATCTGCGTGGGCCAAAACACGTCGGACGGCTCCGGGGGTGCGGGCGGCGGCCCCACCGCCTACCCTACCGCACCCTACCTGCCCGACCTGCCCTTCACCGCGCTGCCTCCGGGGGCCGCTGACGGCCGGGGCCGCTCCGCTTTCCCCTTCTCGTGCCCCCGCCAGCTCAAGGTCCCCCCCTACCTGGGCTACCGCTTCCTGGGCGAGCGCGACTGCGGCGCCCCTTGCGAGCCGGGCCGCGCCAACGGCCTTATGTACTTTAAGGAGGAGGAGAGGCGCTTCGCCCGCCTCTGGGTGGGCGTGTGGTCTGTGCTGTGCTGCGCCTCGACTCTCTTCACCGTGCTCACCTACCTAGTGGACATGCGGCGGTTCAGCTACCCGGAGCGGCCCATCATCTTCCTGTCGGGCTGCTACTTCATGGTGGCCGTGGCGCACGTGGCCGGCTTCCTGCTGGAGGACCGCGCCGTGTGCGTGGAGCGCTTCTCGGACGACGGCTACCGCACGGTGGCGCAGGGCACCAAGAAGGAGGGCTGCACCATCCTCTTCATGGTGCTCTACTTCTTCGGCATGGCCAGTTCCATCTGGTGGGTCATCCTGTCGCTCACTTGGTTCCTGGCGGCCGGCATGAAGTGGGGCCACGAGGCCATCGAGGCCAACTCGCAGTACTTCCACCTGGCGGCCTGGGCGGTGCCGGCTGTCAAGACCATCACCATCCTGGCCATGGGCCAGGTGGACGGGGACCTGCTCAGCGGCGTGTGCTACGTGGGCCTGTCCAGCGTGGACGCGCTGCGGGGCTTCGTGCTGGCGCCCCTCTTCGTCTACCTCTTCATCGGCACGTCCTTCCTGCTGGCCGGCTTCGTGTCGCTCTTCCGCATCCGCACCATCATGAAGCACGACGGCACCAAGACGGAAAAGCTGGAGAAGCTGATGGTGCGCATCGGCGTCTTCAGCGTGCTCTACACCGTGCCGGCCACCATCGTCCTGGCCTGCTACTTCTACGAGCAGGCCTTCCGCGAACACTGGGAGCGCACCTGGCTGCTGCAGACCTGCAAGAGCTATGCGGTCCCCTGCCCGCCCGGCCACTTCCCGCCCATGAGCCCCGACTTCACCGTCTTCATGATCAAGTACCTGATGACCATGATCGTCGGCATCACCACCGGCTTCTGGATCTGGTCGGGCAAGACCCTGCAGTCGTGGCGCCGCTTCTACCACAGACTCAGCCATAGCAGCAAGGGGGAGACTGCGGTATGAACCCCGGCCCCTCCCCCCACCCTGCCTTCCCGCCGCCGGGGTGGGGAAGGGGCGGTAGGGAAAGAACTGCGGGGCGGGGCGGGGGGCTTGTTTCTGGAACCCCCTTCCGCTCCAGTGAGAAGTGACCTGGAAATGAGAAGATATATGTAGATAATATGTGGGTTGGGAAAAGAGGTCTGGGTGGAAAGACGGTTTGGATGAAAAGACTTCTGGCAAAGACTTGCAGGATGATGCTGGTGGTGGTAACAGTGATGTTAATCACGTGCGGTACTGGCCGCCCTGCGCCTGTCGAAAAAGATTGAGATCAGAAGGTTGCTGTGAGTTCTTCCCGGCTCTGGGCCGAACTAGGACTGTGAGCGATTCCCCTGCTGCAAGACAACTGGCCTGTCCTCACTCCTGTGAGGCCCGGGTGAAAGGTACAGCTGTCTGCGGCCGCCGCTTTGTTGGGAAAAGGCAGGACTCCCTGCCGTGTCCTTGTCAAGCGGTGGTCAAACCATAATCTCTTTTCACTGGGGCCAAACTGGAGCCCAGATGGGTTAATTTCCAGGGTCAGACATTACAGTCTCCACCTCTGCCTCCTCCCCGCCTGTTTTTCTTCCCCTACTCCTTTCAAGTCTTGTAAAATAAGCATTTTGAAGTCTTGGGAGGCCTGCCTCCTCGAATCCTGATGTGAGGATGCAAAAGAAATGACAACATTTTGCAACAAGGAAAAGGAGGCGAGTAGTAGGTATTTCTACTACTTTTTTATTATCTGGGGAAGCAGGGGGAAGAAAGAAGGCTGTTTTATTTGGTTTAATATCCTGAAAAGAAGTGATGACTTGTTGCTTTTCAAAACAGGAATGCATTTTTTCCCCTTGTCTTTGTTGTAAGAGACAAAAGAGGAAACAAGTGTCTCCCTGTGGAAAGGCACAACTGTGAAGACAGCAACTTTTATAGGCAAAGCAGCGCAAATCTGAGGTTTCCCTTTGGATGTTAATTTGGTTGTAATAAACATTCCTTTTTAAGGAAAAGTGGAGGGCGGTGTGCTTCCATACCCCTTTCTGTCAGAGGTACTGACTTGGCTAAAGGAAATGCAAGGGCTTTTGCTGTGTTTAAGTAAATTTAATTCAGAACACATGATCCAACAGGCACTGTTAAAACATTCAGGGAAATCTCTCCCTTCATTTTCTTTTTCTTCCCTTAAACCTGCATTTAGGTTTTGTTTCAATTTTTTTTTTCCCTCCAATTCGAATCGTTCAAGGTAAAAGGAGAAGCATAATGCCTTTAGCCTCATAATAAAGGAGCGTTAAATTTTTTAAAAAGTCAAAGGAGCATTTTGTCCTGTTTTCTTTGTTCCATAAATCCGTTTATAAAATATCGTGTGTATGCTAACCCTGTCTTTGTGTGGCTGGGTGGGGAGGTGACCTGCAGAAATGACAGTGAGTGAAGAAGACAGTTCAAACCATGAGCCCCATTTTTAAGGAAAGTCATTAAAAGAAGGTAAACTTCAAAGTAAGTCTGGAGTTCTTTGAAATGTGCTGGATGACTTAAATTTATTAATCTTAAATCATGTACTTTTTTTTCCCTCTATAATAGAACTCCAGTTCCTTTGCATAATGGTCTAAAGCTAAACAGAGAATCATGGGAACTAACCTTTACTCCACCTTTGACATCACCCTCCAATCCAGCAACACTATCCTGTTTCTCAAAACAGTCTTTAAATGCTGTTTGAAACAGTTTTTAAGTCATAGAGGGTACTACAAGAGTACAAGTTGTTTTATACATGTAATGTTCAGTTGAGTGAAGCTGCTTTTTATATTAAAGTTTAACATTGACCTTATGTTTCTTAAACCTCCAAAACTGTCTCATTTGTCAGATTTTTAAAACTCCCACTACACAGTTTTTGGCATCTTTTGTGTTATATCTATTGCATGTGAAATTTGTAAAATAGAGACGAGTGCAGTATGTATATTTTGTAAATCTCCCATTTTTGTAAGAAAATATATATTGTATTTATACATTTTTACTTTGAGTTTTTGTTTTGTTTTGCCTTTTAAATTCTACAAGGAAGCCCCACTTTATCACATGTACAGATCACAAATAAATTTTTTTTTTAAATACAAAGTGAACGTTTATTTATAGTTCCTATATAAGCCAAAGAACAGAAGTTTGTATTATGGAAAGATGGTAAGGAGGGACACCCATTGAATATGTCCCTCATAAAAGAAGATGTTATATATATGAAGGTCTTTTTTCCTTGCCTTTTAAAATACAGAGTTTAATGAATGCCTTAACTGTCCTTTAATTTTTTTTTTTCTGTTGTTGTTGCTTCCTGCCTCTCTTCCCACCACCCCAGCGCACACACACCCCTAAGCATTTTCACATCCTGCCCTGAATCATTTACTGAAGGTACAGAATAAGCATCTCTTTTAGAGAGGTGCTATCTGATCCATGTTTTTACTACCCTTCAGGCATGGAGTCCATATTTGAAAGAGGACTAGGTATTTTTGGTCCACTTTTCTGGACGTATTTTCCTTGGGGAGAATTCTGTGAATATTTTTTTCACTGACTGGTGTCTTTATATTCTAAGGCCCCTTATTTGAATTGTTAGGGCTTAAATCCTTTGCATTTCAGGTGACTGGAAAGGTCTGCAGTTGATTCCAGAGATTATAATGAGAGCATTGCTCTGGGAGCCTCCCCGGCTATAGAGTTCACTCTCCCTTCTAGGTCAACTGAGCTGGAGGTCAAGTGATTCCCCCGAGGTGGAAGTGACTCCAGTAATAGACTCCACGCCTGACCCCAGCGTGGCCTCAGAAGCCAGCGAAACTATTCTTTCCTCTTGCCGGGGAGGCTAACTTTGGAATCAGATTAGACCGAGAAGCCTTCACTATCCAGGCGCTTTGATATTCAACAGTCCCTCAGGGAAATGATAAAGGCATTCTGAAGACTTCCATTTTCAAGCCTCGCCGGATTTCTCTTCCCCCCACTTTTAATTCAGGTGTCTGTTTAGAGCCCACTCATTCTCCGCAGCCATCACAGCACAGGACGCTGCTCTTTCTCCTTCCCTCCCTCAGCTCTGAATTTCTGCACTTCTAAAGCTCAACAGAAACAGTTCTGTTTTTGTTTTAATTAACAGGCTCCCACACACATGGCTGGTGTGTTTTACAAACACAAGGAATGAAAACCAGTGACAGACAGTCCTCACCAGGAGGAGGAAGGCGTGTGGCTACACCGTGTGTGCAAAGCGGCTGTAAGATCCTCCTGGGTTTTGAACATCACAATGGGTGTGAGGTCATCTTAAACTGAGAAGATTTTGGTGTCTAGGACAGAAAAAAAAAAACTGACTTCAAGTCTCTTAAGGTTTAACCAGTTTTTGCTCATAAAATGACACCTTTTAGGTTAAAGTATGGCTCTTTTAACACCACACTAATACTGCCTGTTAAGAATGTTTGCTTTTAGAGTCGATGGAAGGCTCCCAATGGGGTTTTTTGCTCTCAAATTAACTGCTAAAGGCACTTAGACGCTTCTGTGGGGAGAGCGAGGTGGTTGTTCCTATAAATGTGTCCCCTCTGCCTAGTCAGCACTGCCTCGTCCTTCCGAGCGCTCGCAGACTGAAGATCACTGGTCTTTAGTGAGGGAACAAAGGCTGCGTATGAATAAATTACTACCTGCTTTTTTGTAAGCAACGATGAAAGGGTTCTGCTTCGTTCCTTTCACGCTGTGGTGCGTCCTAAGGTAGTAGATTCTTACCTAAGAATTTTAGAGACTCAAGGATCTTTCAGGAGGTGCATCTTCACAGAAAATAGATTAAAAAGAGAGTGTGTATGGAAGGGCATGTGTGGAGTTGAGGAAAAAACACTGGTGGGAGTTTGGTGTTAATCCCTAAGTCAGGAGCAGAAAGACTTGTGAAAATTGTCTTCAGTTTATCAAACAAAATTAGTCTATTAAATGTGCAACACCTAATCTTTTAAAGTAGGTTTGTGAGAAATCTTGGTGAGAAACAAATAAAAATCCTATTGACAACATCTTACCCATTAAAGGTAGGTTTTTTTTTTTAATGTGCTTGATAGAAAATAGTGATATTAGCAATCCTCTGGACAGAACTACAGGAGTCTAACAGCTGTAGGTTTGAACCCTGTAATTATACTGGGAAATTCTCTTCTAACTCTCCCATCTTTAATTTCACTGAAAAGGCAGGTGGCTATTTATAGATGGTATATTTTTATATATGCATATGTGGATGGTGAATAACAGTCTCAGGGCTTCAGGAAATACTATGTGTGGGTCTGCTCTATTTTTCTCTTATTTCACTCTCAGTGACATTAATGTAATTTGATGAAACTTGGTTCTTTAACTCTTACTTTTCAACTTGTAACATTTCTTACCTCTGAATCTATATTCCTCACATTTCATACAAGAGTAAACTAGTTAAAAGGGTGCCATTAAAATGTCAAATCTTTGGTAAACACACATTGTGCCTCTTACTCTCTGGTTGAAAAAAAAAAAGTTCTAATTGGAATTTTCTCAATTAGTGCCACAGTGGTGGAAAAAAGGAATTTTGACCAAGACAATTGTTTATTATAAAGTGATCCAGTCCAAGAAGTACTAATCAAGCAGCCACTACAGAAAAGGTGCTATACCAGGGCCTGGAGGGATTCCAGATAAAAAAAAAAGACACACTCCACCTGAAGTAACCTGGAGCCTAATTCAGGATGAATGAGCACAGCTTATTCCCCCAGTGGAGGAATAAGCAACTAATTATCTTTCTAGACAGAACGTGGTAAGTCATCACAGAGGCCCAAATGTTATTTGGAATAATATTACTTGACATTTGGTGGCATTTACTGTTTTAAAAGCTGCTTTCACACTCATTATCTGACTTTATCCTCAAAATTATTGTAGCAGTCTTATGACATGGAATAAATCCTATTATAAAAATGAAGAAGCTGAGGAGCTTAGTGTGTTGAAGTGACACGGGAAGAGGAAGGGATCATATCCCATCCTCAGATTTTGAGCTCAGC